TGAGGTAATTTTTTTTTTTTTCCTTAAACTTTCTAGGGTCCTTCAAAATTATTCTTGCTCAAAATAGGGCCACTTTCATTTGGAATGAAATATGACACAAGTAACTATACTGCAAAAACGTAAATGATCATTACAGATGCTGTGTTCATGGTAGACTTGATCTAACAAAAAATATACTGTAGTTCAGACTCCAAAGTCATTGGGCACTATGTAACAAACATTACATTTGTGAACTTAACCCTGTAAGATATTTAAATCCGTATTTAAAGACTTCAGAACTTCTGGCAGGACACTGCATTGAACAGACCAGGATCCACTGCAATTCTCCCATATCTTCAAGATCTTTTAAAAGTTATGATACAGCTGTTAAAAACCTTAATAAAGATGATATATTTCTCGTTGAACCCAAATAGGTTCTCTATGCATTCAGTTCTCAGTTCTTTGCAGTTGCCCACAAAGTCTTAACACCTAAATTTTTGAAAAAGAAAAGCTCATGCAAGAAATCCTGGTCTAACAGGACAAACTACTGTACAGTGGCACCAGAGCTTCCTTGGAAAACACTTAATTCACAGATCAAAGAGAGGAAGTCAGTTCTAGCACATTAAGTCGTCTGTGATTAAACTTTTTTGCTTTAGTAACTATTTTAAGTAACAATCGAAACAAGAAGAAGAAAGTCAAATGTTCATTCCATAGTTGGCAAACACTGAGTCATGGAAAAACAGTTGCTGTTAGTTTTCAAAACTGCAAGTTTGTTCTCTAATTCTCTGTGATTTATAATAAAGAAAAGGGCTAAGTTGCAGACTTCTGAGACATAAATGGCTGCTGCTGGGCATCTGGGGATGCAGGCATAGGCAGAAACTCAAAACTAGCTTTTGGTTCATGATCCAAGCAGCAGTAAAGCTTTAAACTGAAGTGGCAAGTTTGAAAGAATAGTGCAATCCCTTATACTGTGCTTTCTCCTGAGAAAAGTTCTTACTTGTATCTGTTTTCATGTACCTTGCACAAGAGACTGAAGTATTTAAGAAGATGCTACATTTTTTCCTGCTTCTTTTAAAGAAATTCTATGCTCTTTCTGTTACAGCATATTTTAAAAAGCTATTTCACTTCACTGCATGCATTTTTATGTGGTTTTTTAAATAATTTATTTATTTTTATGGCATAGCGGAAAGCATTCACTATATAGCTGAAAAGCAGCAAATGTGCATCAAAGTACAAAAGAAATAAATTCATTCCTCTTGTAATGAGATTTCTCTTCAGTTCAGTTTGATTGCTTACCTTTACTATTGTGTCCAATGCTATTTGGAAAAAAGCGACAAAAACAGGGAAAAGAATCAAAAGCCAAGCAATTTGATATGACTATGTTTAATCTCATCTCTACCTGTTCTGAAGAATGTCTTTGCATATTTACAGTACAGTAATACTACAGGAACAACAAACTGTAATGGCATCGTGTCAGCTACCAAGGTGATGGGAGTTGATCCTGTCCAAAGATCACACTGGAAACTGGCTATGCTCTTACAGTGGGCACAACTCTCAGTGACCATGACTATGCTCATCATGTTAAACAATAATGTCTCTGTGATTTAGAAATAAATGGAGTTACTCCACTAACAAGTATTTCAAAGTTTAGCTGCAGTCAACATTGAAAGTACAAATCAAGCAAAAGTTCAGCATTGTCTTTTATTGTGCCTAGAGGTAATGTGGCATCTTGTGATGTTTTTTCTGCCAGAACTCTGTAGGATCATTCATCTTGGGTTGCATCCATTATAGAAAAATAGACTTCTGCTGGGCCAGTGGCACTAGCTTAAGCACAAAGATTTAGGGACTCACATTAGCCACAGCAAACTAGAAGAATCATTGCAGTTTTCATTATATCTGCAGCAATATTCTGCAAAACTACTGCAGTTATTTTTGGTCATCTCTTCAGAAATTTCTAACAACTTTCTGAGAGATGTATATAATCTTGGTGGAGTTGCTGATATTATTCATGTTAATTAAGCTGCACTGCCTTTTCAAATTAACTTGCCCTTTTCATGCACTGTAGACATAGTGGCTCTGCAAAGGACTCAAGTCACTCTTATCAACAGTGTAGGGCTCGGCAAGGAAACAGCCCCAGTTCTTTAACCTCTGAAACGTACACACAGATTTCTTTTTTAAGAATAAGGAAATTCTGAAAATGAAATAAATCTCCTTTAATAAAAGAAGGTTTCCAAAATTAGAAAATGCACCTCCACTTGCCCAAAATTACAAAATATGCCCAGAGTGCTTCACTGTAGAGCCAAATGTTTGCCTGCTGTCATTTTGGCACCATAAGACACAAACTGGTGTATCACTTCTTTTTGAGCACTAAGTAAGGATTTCGGGTGCAAATTTATTTAATCTTTTCCATCAAGAATATCACTGATACTCGGCTTCTGTTGCTCTGATGCAGCTGAGCAGCCAGCTAACCAGAGGAGAAAAGCCTGGTGTCGGCAGCCTGCCTGGGAACTGATTCAGACTTTGGCATACCATGGAGAGTCTTAAGGATGTTCAAATTTACAGAGAGAAATTACACAGATTTTTCCTGAAAATTCTTTCAAACAAACAAACAAAAGGTGTGTAAATGAGGCTAGCTTGTTTTATGGCAAGAAATCTGTTTTTAATCAGATTAAGTTGCATTTTCCATAGAATGACCGAATCATAGAATTGCTCAGATTGTAAAAGACCTTTAAGATTATTAAGTCCAACGGCATACTCCCTAACTCTAACAACCCTCCACTAAATCATGTCTCTGAGCACCACATCCAAATGGTTTCTAAACACATCCAGGGATGGTGACTCAACCACCTCCCTCGGGAGCCTATTCGAGTACTTAACAACCCTCTCTGTAAAGATGCTTTTCCTAAACCTCCCCTGGCGCAACTTAAGGCCATTTCCCCTCATCCTGTCACCTGTCAACAGTGAGAAGAGACCAACCCCACTCTTGTTGCAATCACCTTCCGGGTATTTGAAGAGAGCAATAAGGTCTGCCCTCAGACTCCTTTTCCCCAGACTGAACAGCCCCAATTCCTTCACTCTCTCCTCGTAGGGCATATTCTCCAAATCTTTACAAACCTTGATGCCCTTCTCTGGACCTGCTCCAGCACCTCAATGTCCTTTCTGTATTATGTATGTATGTGACATAGCAATTTAGGCCATTATTTATGCCCACAGTTAGAAGTATTTCTTCAAGTTTTACCAGGTTCTCAAGCTAAAATATCCCCTCTTAAATGCTGATTGCATTTATTATCCAGCCCATGGACATTCTCAGTGTCTTTTCCTTGGAACCAGCAACAATGACGTATCCAGATCAGATAATTCCTGTCTCTCACTGTAATTGCAAGAGGTTAATTTTCTTTTCAGTCAGTGATGTGTAAATTGGATTCAGACAACAGCTGCTTAGGAGGCCTTGTCTGTAGAAGTTGCTTCCATCGGTACCATACTTAACAGTTTTACTACAGAAATTCACATTTCACACCTTTCTCATATGAATGATGTTCAGCAAAGTTCATATTTAACTTCATATGTTTTTTTAGTCCTAAATACTATATGAAGAGGAGAAAAAAAATAACAACTGAATTTTGTTTCTGATGACATACTCATGAGTGAATATAATAATTATATTCACTTATTATATTCACTTAATTATATGAGTGAATATAATAAAACTGCCACAATGGCACTGTTTGTTACAATAAGATTCAAACAGCATGATAAGAAGAGTTGACCAATCTCAAAAGCAGAGGACTTCATCTATTTATGTGCTTAAACCTCTTTATCTAGTAACAAGCTCTTCACACTTCACTGTCTGGGCAATTGCTGCTTTTGGCAATAATGATCTGAGTGGGTGGCTGAGAATGGAGCTGGCAGACACAGTACAGATGCAAATTACTGTACTTAGCAGCACTCACATTCATTTGTCCAGGCAGTCATTTTCTATAATTCCAGAAGTAACCCAGAAGTCATAAAATATTGTACTTGTCACTAAGTAAAAATAAAATATCTTGCGTAATCAGCATTTATTGTCATAAAATATAGTGTTAAATAGATAACTGAAGTGTCAGTATTCCCAATGTCATAAAGAAATCGCTGAAAAAATGAAATACACTCTGTGTGCCTAATTTGTCTTTTTGTGTTTTATTTTTAATATTGCCATTGGAGTTCTCCTAATGCAAGTGTGACTGTTGATATGCTTTACCAAGGCCAAATAATAGCAACCATAAAAATGGTAAAATCCTGATTAGCTTTTCCTTTACTCTAACAAGTTATTTCTTTCATTATTTTAGCTACTGAGATGAATGACAAACATGACAAAAGAAAACTGAATAATACACAGCATTACTAAAGGCTGTCTACAGTTCAGTGAAATTAGCAGTCATTATTGCTGTGTTGACTGCAATGTTGCTGTTCCATAGCATATAAAGTAAGAGTCACAATACAATACGAACTTGCATACGTATTAAACTTCTTGATTGTACAAATAATCACTTGATGTGCGATACCCAAGCCACGATTTCAAATACAGATTTTTTTCTTTTATCTATAGTGCATTTTTAAACATATTTAAGTAAAATTTCACTTCATCATCTTTTTTTAAACTATGCCCTGAATAAATATTCAACCTTTTAGAAAAGTGGCATCTCCAAATAAACAATAAGAACCAGACTAAAGAAACAAAGGAGAAAATCTATTTGTGTACATTGACATTACAGCAGCAATCTCAACAAGTTAAACTTTCTCAGGAGAAATAAGCTTTTCTCAGAACAAATTAACTTTAAGACTGTTTCTCTTTTAGTAAATTATTTAAATAACAGTGGCAGTAATAGTAACTGTGGTCTTATATGATTATATGGGAAGACAGCAATTAAAGTAACAAGTCTTTGGAATCAGAACCTAGCTTAATTCTATTGAGTCATTAGTAAGTAAATAGCTAAGGCACAAATGTATCAACACTAATTGCAATCAGAATCTAGATACAGTACCTTAGCTTTATCCCTCATGGAGCCCTTTCCCAGGATAGACATTTTTGCACCTGTTTCTTCTTGTAACCTCTTCAAGGAGTTTCCTCTTGGTCCAAGCAATTTCCCAACAAAATTGAACTAGAAAGTAAATAAGAAAACTATTTTAAAACAAGGAGCACTTTAAAAAAAAAACAAAAACAAAATCTTCATAAATCTTCATAAATGAGTTGCTTAAAGAGAAAAGTTTATTCTTATTTTTAAACAATACTACTACTTATTTCTAGGATTAATTCATACAAGTGCGAATAATGGCCTTTTCTTATCTAGCTTGGAAAAGAACTATAAGCATTCACAGTTTATCTGAAACCCAGGAGGTTCATCTTTAGGAGAAAAATGGACAGTGGCTGCTTAGGTTTAGCAAAGTGCTAAAGAAGATCTTGGCTTACTAGATGACATAGGTGAAACTAAGAAAATGAATATGTTCTTTCCTGCGATAGTCAGCTTTAGTGGCAGAATAATATATTTTGCAAAGCTAGAGCTTTTGATAGGTTTCTAAGAATTGATGTTTTACATATTGATTTTAAAATAAGTGTCATTTCATGTATCGGTTTCAAATATCTGTTTTGCCAGTAACTGAACAAGTCACACAAACAGATCACTCCAGATAACCAGGCTGCTGTCTGAGAGAATTTTGCAGAGCGCTGGAATTTGTCTGATATGCTGCAAATACTCTTAAACAGTGTACAGTTCCAATGACACCTACACTGTTGTGGTTTTTTTTCTGCATGAAGAAGAGAGATCTCTACTCGAAAATTCTTTGACAGAACACTAATTAAATAAGGCATTAATGCTATGTCATCATAAAGTACCAAAGGATGGAAGCTATCAGGTACTCCACAATCAACAGTTTATTCAACTTAGTATGTGTTATGCTTTCCAAAACCTTTTTGGATATGACATCATGTCTTTGGAATTTGATGGAGAACCATCAGCATTTGTTCAGGACATTTCTAAACTGTGTTTAAATATGAACAGAAAATACTCTGGCCTGCCTTTCGATAAAGACTAAGCTCATCTGAGAATAAAGGTGTGCAATTGTATCTGCATGACAGTAAGAATAGCAATCAAGGACATGCTGGTGTCAAAACTTTAGGAAGATCACAAATGATAGAACCATAGAATCATCTAAGTTGGAAAAGACCTTCATGACCACTAAGTCCAACCATCAATCTGACCTACAGAGTCCCATCACTAAACCAGTGATATGTCCACACATCTCTTAGTTATCTCCAGGGATGAGGAATGGAGCGCACTGGAATGGACAGCTCATTCCAATGCTTGACCACACTCTCCATGAAGAAATTCTTCCTCATGTCCAATCTAGACCTTCCCTGGTACACAGTGTGTGGCTGTTTTCTCGCATCCTATCACTTGTCACTTAAGAAAAGAAACTGACACCCTCCTTGCTGCAATTGTTGTAACTTCCTTCAAATATTGTTTAAACCATCAAAGAAAAAAGTATGTAATCTCAAGAAAAAATAAACACGTAAGACAAAAATCTACTTCCACCTAAATTAACATCACCAATTTCAGTTAGATAAAATGCCTAGAGGTAAATAGCAAGTGGTACAGCTGCGGAGAAAAAGAACAAGCTTTTACGCTCAAAATAACATTTTTAAGGCTTGTGTGCTTGCAATTTCTTCCAACTTTCTCTATTGATTTAATAAAAGTTAGCAACTCTTCCAATAAATCCCATCCCTTTAAATCATCGTGGTATCAGCAATACTAAGTCTGTACTAAAACTGTAGCTATGTATCTTCCAGGGCTAACTTTGCCTGAAAGAAGTTGCTCTCTTCAGATGGATTATTAAATTTCATACGGAAATAAGCCTAACGATGAGAAAGGAATGGCAAAGATTGAATTTCAACTTTAATTTGAAACTATATACTAGGAATTAATCTATAAAAGTAAGATTTCAAAAATGAAATCTCATGCACGTGTAGGCTCATTAAAGAAGGTCGAGCAAACAGCAGAGCTTTCTCTTCTCTGCAGGAAACATATGTGCAGGAAGGCAGTTAAAAGATGAAATTTTTTGTGCCACTTACACTTCACTAATCATAGTAGAATCTGAGAGAATTTATGCTGCATTCCATTAGTGCCTCTAAATATTAGGAAAAATATGCCTTTCAAGAGCTGAAAGTCTATACGGCTGCCTAAGTTTGGGGTACAGGAGGGCTGGTCAAAGCTCAACAACATTTGCTCTCTGAACAGAATAAAACTATTAAAATAGAGCTTATGAAGATTTATGTTGAACATTTATACTAAGTACTTTATAAGCCACCTAATAATTACCTTGAAATATTGCTGCAAAGGAGCAGTATGGCCAGCATAAACTACATACAAAGTGGATTTTAATCACTTCACCAGAAATAAGTGGCTGGGGATTTTAATTCTATTGATTATGTAGCAGACAGACATTCACACTTCATCCACCTTCTACTCTGAAAAAATACATCAGGAAGCATTCCGTTATTTGCAACTGAAAAAATGAATTGCTGTTAGTTTGGTTTTGTCTAAAGTTGCAGAAAAGCTGGTGAACAGTGTCAGAAATTCTACCACTGTCCTCAGTCTTCCCAGCATCAGTAAGTTCTAGGGATACCAGCTATCCTCAGCATTAATCTATAATCGTAAATCTGTAAACCCCTTCCAGTAAGACATGCTACACATCAGCATTCTTTGCTTCATGTTAAGCCCTGGAGAAGAGAATCCCTAAAACTAACAGAGTGTTGTCAAGCTGGAGCACAGCACAGGCAGTCTGTCTCCCAGTGTCAGCATTTATTATGCTGATATATCATGCATAGCATTTTTGAAATGCCAGACATTAATTATAACCTGTGCTGTAAAAAAACGTGTACAATAATTAGTTCTTAAAATATATCCCATAGCATACAAACAATGTTGCGACAGTATTAAGTGTACTATAGTATCTTAAGTTCACATACATTCTCACTGTCATACTTGAACTTATCCTCCTCAATTTGGACATGGGTTGTTTTTGATGTGACTTACCACATCAGCAGAATTTTTACAGAATTGAAAATAAACATGCAGACAAGCCTTTATATAAAGTTGTTGTGGTTTAGTTCTACATGTGATTTAACCCACAACTACTTTTCTGAACTTAGAAGCTTCTCTCTTTGCTAAACATGACTTTCATAGACGTTTTTAAATCTTTCTTATAAGGGTAACAGATACTAGCACTGGTTGATTCTCTGATTGAACTGTGGGGCTTATCACAGGGATTGAGTGACCACAAGACTGGTTGTGAGGGTTGTGGCACCTACAGGGTCTGTCAGAAGTGTTAGAATAACCCCAGGGTCTGCCAAAAACGTCAGAGCAACAGCAGAGCTTGGTTGGCATAGGCCAGGCCCCAGCACACTGCTGTGCTTTGTGTCTCATTAGGATTGTCAGGGTGACAGCATACCTTTTCCAAATATTCTACTGTTTTTTTAGGATTCTGCAGTTGTTCATAAGTGATGTTCCAAACCACTAGGGTTGCTCATTGCTCTAAGCACCTGTGCATACCCCTCCTAGGGGAAGACATCTGCTTAAACACTTATTTAGTCTTAAACGTAACCTGAAACACAGTCATAACACATAGCAATAGAAGCATGCTGGTTTGAACATCCCACAGATTTTCAGAATTCTCAAGAGCTATTGTAGCTAGCTCTTGAACTCTATGGAAAGAAGAAAAGGTGAAAGGGAGGCTAAGGAACTCTAGAAAGTGTACTCCCCTATTTCATCCATAGCTGGGCTCTGTAAGGAGACAAAGCAAAGAGTGTAATTACTAACACTACCAAAACTCAAAGATGACTGCAATGCTCAATACACACAAAACAGCAGTTTCTCAGCTGCCAATTTTATCATAATGTAAGTCAAGGCCACACAGCATAGGAAAATAAAAACATTAATCCAACCCCGAGAGGTGAAAAACAAGTCAGCAGAGAAAATAAGCAGCAGACAAGGTGCTACACAATACAGTTGTGAAAAATCTCAAAGAGCTCCATAAACAGGCAAGAAATTAACACTGTGACAAGCAGTCATCAAACTACCACAGCATCCTGTGTTAACATGGTCCAATCAGATCTGCTGTTATCTCAACCCTTCATGTCCCACGCTGGATGCCAAAATGACTGCTGTGGTTTAACCCAGCAGGTGACTGAGCACCACATAGTCCTTTGCTCGCTCCCTCCCCTCCCCAGTGGGATGAGGGAAAGAATGGGAAAAAAAAAACACAAAGTAGAACTTGTGTGCTGAGATAAAACTATTTACTAAGATAGAAAAAAGGAAAAGGATAAAAGTTATGACTATATATATGTCTGTAGATATAAATGTATATAACAAGTGATGCACAAGCAATTGCTCCCCACCCCCCAGCTGATGCCGTTGAGCAGCGGAAGAAAAAGAGATGAAGTCCCACCCCTTCAAAAATCCTTCCTCATGATGTCATGTGGTATGGAATATCCTTTAGGCCAGTTTAAGTCAGCTATCCTCATCCTGTTCCCTCCCAGCTCCTTGGGCCCTTCCCAACGAATGGCCCTGGCTCTCTGCAACACTGCTTGGCTACAACTAGAAGCACTGGTGTATCATTAACGTTGTTTTCTCCTAGAACCAAAACATGGCATCATACCAAATACTCTGAAGAATACAATTCCATCCCAGTTGAAACTAAAACAGACAAATGTTTACATAATATCTATTTTATATGATGTTGTGAATTCAAGGAGAAATTTCTTCAGTATATGGCATATTAAAGCAAATTGTCCAGGACATGAAACACAGTGGGTGTTTGAACTTTCAAGCAGGCACCCAAGGTAAATAGACACAACTCCATTACTGCATTTGTGTTGTACAAAAACAAAAAGAAAGTGAATTTGTCCTGTAAAAAGCCTGTAGCTAATATTAGCATACTTGTATCTTCACAGTTTTATTGAACTAGGTATGAGATGCATACGCATACTAGCACAGTGAGCTAAAATGATAAAATACTAATGCCTTCATATAGAAACTAGAAAATAAGTAACAACAACAACAACAACGTTTGAAGCCTGAGGTTTATGACAGATTCAGTAAAAATC